TTCCTCTTTCCACAACTGAGAAAGAAAATCTATGGGAACTCTGAATGAATCCGGCATTCAACTTCTCAGTGGTCACCCTTAACTACTGTACCTTAACAGCCAGAGAGGCAGGATCCTAAACTCAGCTAAAATCTCCCCTGGAAATAGCCATTAATCAGACTTGACTGAATGTCGAATTTGGTTCTTTGTTTACTCTTTATTTTTCCATGTTTCTTTCAATTAGGTCATTCTTACCTATTCCATACCAATAATCAAAGGGTGAGTATAGCTTTAAGTGTGTTCTGTTAATGCATAGCCATTTGTTATTCATGAAATAATATTTAAGTTTTTTAAAAGGTAGTATTTTTCTTAATATTAAGAGGCTTGCATAATAAGCACTATTAGGATACTGTGGGGAAGAAAAGATGAAAAAGAGGAAGGAGGCTGGGCACGGTGGCTCATGCCTATAATCCCAACACTTTGGGAGGCCGAGGTGTGTGGATCACAAGGTTATGAGATCCAGACCATCCTGGCTAACGTGGTGAAACCCTATCTCTACTAAAAATACAAAATATCAGCTGGGCTTGGTGGCAGGTACCTGTAATCCCAGCTACTCTGGAGGGGGAGGCAGGAGATTCACTTGAACCGGGGAGGCGGAGGTTGCAGTGAGCCGAGATTGCGTCAATGCACTCCAACCTGGGCAACAGAGGGAGACTTTGTCTCAAAAAAGAAAAAGGAAAAAGAAAGAAAAAGAGGAAGGAAGCTTTTATTGAGTAGTGACTAAGTAGCACACACTGCAACACTTGCAGGCATTCACTCATCGGTGCATGTATGTCACACTAAGTGCTGTCTGATGTCCTCACAGCATCACTATGAAGTTACTGTCTTAACCTTAGGATATAGATGAGAAAAATGGGACTTAACAGCAACATGCTCAAAATACACACTTCGTGTGGCACAAAGCAAGGATTCAAACCCAGGCTTTGCTTGCCAAACAGCAGCGCTTTCAACGATTAGGAACAGACTTCATTGTTTACAGCTGTGAGGGCAGAGACTCCAAGGAGAAGGATTAAATCCTGGTGTTTGTTGCAACCAGAGCTTCTAAGCTGATCACTTAGAAGATATTATTTGGGGATGTCCAAGGGGCCAAAAAAGACCTTGCAAAGAATCACATGAGATAACATACTGGAAAACACTGTGAAAGATTTAATATCGCAATGGTCACATTAGCATGACAATATATATGGGATACATTATAACACCCATAATAAATGTGATTCAACTTGGATGTACCAGTGACTTTCAAAAGGTGAGCATCACTGTGCCTTTGTTTTATGTATTTTAAATGTTCTATATTTAAAGGTGAATGGTTCCAAGATGTTCCTTTAAAATTTTGATAAATAAATGTTCTGAAGATCATCTGTGGGGAATTCTTCCCTTCACATAATAAGGTTGGATGCAAAGCACAGTTTTATGCCCTGTAGCAGACTTTTTTTTGTTTTTAATGCCCACTCTGTTTTAGCTGCTTCCAAGTCCCAGCCTGGGATCCGCAGGTTGTGCGACAAGGATCAAGAGTGTGGTGAGTATTGGGCTACAGTTCTCAGTGCTCGAGGGATAAGATTTCTTATGAAAACTGACAGCTTTTTTGTTCTTCCTTAGTCTTTTTAACACACAGCCAGGTCTCTCTGTTCAGCTGCACCTGCTGTGGTTGTGACTGTACCGGGCTAAATTTATGCCACTGACAACCCCATTGAAGTGTCTCAGTGGCACAGAGTCAGTGGGAGTTACGTGTATATAAGCACCAGCAGACCTTGGCCCGCTGAGCGTAATAGCATATCTGCCTTGGGAGATTACGGGTATGATACGGGCAATGCGTAATGGATAGGGCAGTCTGTGTACAAATTTCAAATGACTTGCTACACCCCTTTAGGATGGTTGCTGTCAAAAGTATTAGCACATTACACACACAACAACCACATATCATATTACCCGTGGCCCCTGCTCCTATGATATGGCTCCTCCCACCTCTCGCAGTAGGTAATTGCTTGAGGAGTACCTATTGAACACATACAAAGGAGCACACACTGGTGAATTTTATTCTTTGAGCTTGACTGTATTAATATAGAAGAAGGAAAATACTGACTGTGTTTAAATTAGCATGGACAGAAGTTCAAAGGGAATTATGTGTAAAAGATATCTCTGGAAGATTTAAATTTTCAACCTGATGAGAACTGGCTTTAATATACTGAAGCTGAACCGGGGGGAGGGTTATGTGGCTATGCACCTAAAACTCCAGATCTACCCTGATTGCAAGGCTTCATTTGTGATGCAAACAAAAAGGTAGGAGGATGTAGGAACTTTCACATAGTGATTGATGTCTAAAACATTTATTTTTTTAATCATAAATTTTTTGAATGAGTCTGCCTCAGGCCTAGGAATCTGCAAAATTGAAACAAAATGAAGATCTGATCAGGAAACACTTGCATTTTTTGGTTAAGCTTGGCTCAAGCCTGTAATCCCAGCACTTTGGGAGGCCGAGGCAGGTGGATCATGAGGTCAAGAGATCGAGACCATCCTGGTCAACATGGTGAAACCCCATCTCTACTAAAAATACAAAAAATTAGCTGGGCATGGTAGCGCATGCCTGTAATCCCAGCTACTCAGGAGGCTGAGGCAGGAGAATTGCCTGAACCCAGGAGGCAGAGGTTGTGGTGAGCCGAGATTGCGCCATTGCACTCCAGCGTGGGTAACAAGAGCAAAACTCTGTCTCAAAAAAAAAAAAAGTAGACAGCATCCCCTCTCAGACTGGTGCAAGCACAAATTAGGCAGAATGAATTTTCTTTTCTGAGTTGAGTTTAGACTTAAGTCTTTTCTAGTCTTCCATGATAATGAGAGGCACGATAGATTACATCAATAAAGACACTGATGCTATTGTCGTTCACAGAAAGATTAGTGGCCAAGTGATCACATGGTGATCACTTGGTGATGGTTGGAGGTAGAATGTACACAGCTTCTCTTTCCATGGTCAGGACCTCTTTTTTATAATAATGTTGAAAACCTGTTAACATTAGGAGCCATAGCATTGATTGTGGTATCTGCTTACATGCAGTGTCTACAACACTGTGGAAGCCCATTCATCATATTCTCAATAGATTAGCACCAAATGTATTCCAGGCTGAGCATTAGTCTAGAGCTACAGATATAAACAAGACAGTACCCTAACCTTAGGGATCTTGTTTCAATTTATTTTATCTTCATTATCGAATAGTGCAGGCTATGTGCCAGGCACTGCTCTAAGTGCTTTATGTATTTTAACTCATTTAATCATCAAAACAGCCACATGTGATAGTTACATGATTATACCCATTTTAGAGATGAGGAAACTGAAGCACAGATAAGTTAATATGCCCAAGACCACATACCTGGTATATTGGCAGACCCAGTACTTAAGCTCTGACAAATCTAATTCCAGAGACCCTGCTATTAACCACTACTTGAACTGAAGAAATAAACATGCAACTATTTCAACATAATCACTAGTGACACTGAAGACCCAAAAAACTCCAGAAGCTCTGGCATCTGCTATATTTAGTTCAAACACTGGGGAAAACTGTAAAAAAAGATTAAAAAATGCTAGTCAATTTGTAAAGGAACAACATATAAAAGACAGATTCTAAAAGCTGCCAAAAAAGCCAAAACAAAATGAAATTTAATGGGGATAAATGTGAGATGTTCTTAAATGGAATAAATCCCTTGTAGAAGCCCCAGGTGATTAAGATTTGACTCCAAGTTGTGGGGCTCTTCCTTGATGAAAGGCTCCATTTAAAGTTAATCACATGGTACCGTGGACAGACACTGTCCCTGCTGGTCATGTAACTTCTGAGTATTTTACTTGTTTTGGGACACTTCTTTTTTTTTTTTTTGAGACAGAGTTTCGCTGTTGTTACCCAGACTGGAGTGCAATGGCATGATCTCGGCTCACCGCAACCTCCGCCTTCTGGGTTCAAGCAATTCTCCTGCCTCAGCCTCCTGAGTAGCTAGGACTACAGGCGCGCACCACTATGCCCAGCTAATTTTTGTATTTTTAGTAGAGACGGGGTTTCACCTTGTTGACCAGGATGGTCTGGATCTCTTGACCTCGTGATCCACCCGCTTCAGCCTCCCAAAGTGCTGGGATTATAGGTGTGAGCAACCGTGCCCAGCCGGGACACTTCTTAAGAGACTGGTGGCCGGGTGAGGTGGCTCACGCCTGTAATCCCAGTACTTTGGGAGGCTGAGGTGGGAATATGACCTGAGGTCTGGAGTTTGAGACAAGCCTGACCAATGTGCAAAAACCCAACTGTACTAAAAACACAACATTAGCCGGGCGTGGTGGCGCCTGCCTGTAATCTCAGCTACTTGGGAGGCTGAGACAGGAGAATCACTTGATCCCAGAAGGGATTACTCCTGTAATCCCAGCTACTTGGGAAGCTGAAGCAGGAGAACCCCAGGAGGCAGAGGTTACAGTGAACAGAGATCATGCCATTGCACTCCAGCCTGGGCAACAAGAGCAAAACTCCATCTCAAAAAAATAAAAATAAAAGAGAGAGAGAGAGAGAGAGAGAGAGAGAGAGAGAGAGAGAGAGAGAGAGAGAGAGAGAGAGAGAGAGAGAGCCTGTCAAAGTAAGGCCAACTCATGGAAGAAAACCTCTTGAGTTTATGTCATTTGGGGAACTGGGAACTTTAGCTACTAAAACAAAAGCAGTAGATTGAGGGGCATGAAAGTTTTCAAAGATTTGAAAGTCTATCATATGGTAAAGGGATGAGATTTCATGATATTCCTTCTGAGGATAGCATCAGACAAAAGAGAAAGATATTGCAAATACAATGATTTTTGCTTTCATACCAGGAAAAAAACTTTCTAAAGACAATGTTCCAAAATGGTAGCAATCTTGGATAACATGAGCCCTTTCCCTCCATCTCTCTGGCTGGCCCTGGCCAAACCGGCAGCCTTCATCCAGACCTTTGCACGTTTATGTTACCTTCCTTGAATCTGCAAGTCCTGAAAATTGCTCCATCTGCACCTGATCATCTGCCCATCTTCAGAACTCTGGGTTCAGTGGGAAGTTGGACCAATGCCCTCCAAACTTCCAAGCATAGGATTCCATGACTTCTTGATTCCATTATGGAGCCTTGAATTCCAAAAAAATTTTAAAAATAGATTATCTCTGTTTTATCGCTGTAGAAATGTCAGAGTGCTGAGTAACCAGCCAGAATCAGAGGCAGACAATGACTCCCTCTCACACCTAGATTCCTGCTCACACTTGCCTAACTACTTCTACACAAGCAACCTTAACATTGTTACAGAGCAACTTAGCCCTAACCTTATTCTAGAAAATTGGTCTGCTCCCCAGTGACCACTTGATCATTTAGCTGAGAGCTTACTATCATTTCCAAGTTAATTTGTGAGTTAATTGTAAATGTCAGGAAGCTCTGACATTGCAGAAAATGGTAAATTGTTGAGATAAACTAGGATCTGAAAAATCCTAAATTGAATAAAGTTTGTTTTTTGACCAGTTTTTATCAGAAATATATGCTGACTTGTGAAGGGTCTGGAATGGCATCATATTTGAGTTGCCTCAGAAGATAGCCCGGCATTAAGTGCATGAAGGATGATAGGATTCAAAAGTGCTTTCCAACTCCCAGATTTGTACTTTACTCCACAATCATGGCCTCTGTCTTGTTTTTATCTAAATGGCTGTCCAACCAACAGAACTTGAAAAAGAACAATTCAGTCTCTGCCTGTGTTTACTTCCAATTTGATGGTCTAAGATGGTATTCTTAAAATACCACTTAAAAAGCCACTGTGCCCAGTCTTTTTTTTTAAAAAAAAAGTGTGGTTACTTTTTTTTTTCTTTGAGACAGGGTCTCACTCTGTCACCCAGGCTGGAGTGCAGTGGTGTGATCACAGCTCATTACAGTCTTGACCTCCCCAGCTTAAGCCATCCTCCCACCTCAGCCTCCCAAGTAGCTGGGACTATAGGTGTGAGCCACCACATCTGGCTATTTTTTTTTTAAAGATGGCATCTTGCTCTGTCCCATAGACTGGAGTACAATGGTGCAATATGGGCCCACTGCAACCTCTGCCTCCTGGGTTCAAGCAACTCTCCCATCTCAGCCTCCCAAGTAGCTGAGATTACAGACACTGGCCATCATGTCCAGCTAACTTTTGTATTTTTGTAGAGACAGGGTTTTACCATGTTGGCCAGGCTGGTCTTAAACTCCTGACCTCAGGTGATCCATCCACCCAGGCTTCCCAAAATGCTAGAATTACAGGTATGAGCCACTGTGCCCAGTCTTTTTTTTAAAAAAAAAAATTTATGTAGAGATAGGGTCTCACTAAGTTGCCCAGGCTGGTTTTCAACTCCCAGGCTCAAGTGATCCTCTCACCTCCTTCTCCCAAAGTGTTAGTATTAGAGGCATGAATCACCCCTCCCAGCTCTGGTTCCTTTTTTTTTTTTTTTTAACTCTGAACATATATGCATAGCTACAGCTACCGGTAAAATCGTGACTTGTCTTTCCAATGCTGCTGTGTTGGGCAGTCCTGCTCCTTAGGAATAGATACCTCTTATTTTTTTTCCTTGTGGCTTGGCTTTTTCCTCCTGGCTAGGTCAAGCCGTTAACACCAGGATTATGTTAAAAGAAAGACAAATATTTTCGAAAACTTCCAGAATTATCAGGGTTATGCAAAGTGGAGGCTTGTCTTCCAGAGGGAGAAACGTGTATCTCCATCCCAAATGGTTCGAATCTCTATCAACTTCAACTCTGGAGTTTTGGCCAAACGTTCCGCATGTCTCGTTTTTGCCCATATCTGTATTTGCCACAATCTTATTTCTGATCATTCTCAGCAGCAAAGTTCTCCTGGTGATAACTTCACTTTCTACCATTTGTGACTGATTAATCCACAGTGTATCAAAAATTGGAGTTAAATTGGAATGCTATGGTACTTAAGCACAAGATGGCAGGGAGCCTTTATTTTCTAACTTCTTTTAAAAATACCGTTTTTGAGGAGTGGCAGGTTGAAAAGCCATCTCCTGACAGTCAATTAGACTCTTCCTGAGTGACAAAACCCACGCCTTCATGGCGGGGGAGCTATGTGCCGACTGTGCTACCTAGAAGATGATATTCAGTTCCCCATCCATTGACATTTTAGGGAAAGTAACACAGGGCTTTTGCTACATGCCTTCCTCTATACTCAGACACACAGGTCAGAAGAGAAGTCAATGATAGGCTGAAATTCCTATACATTACAATCTCCAGTTTGTGGACCAGAGCCAAAGGGCTCTTGGCTACGAAGTGTAAACAGATCATTGTTGCCTCTTAATCTGGATAATTGGTCCCAAATGCTGTTGCCACTTTTCAGATCGATGGTTTTCATACTTTTAAAAGAATCTGGAACTTTTCTTCACTGGCAGGGAAAAGTTTGAAGTGTAATTCAGTCTTTTCATCAGCACTAAGACTCCTATAAACAGCTAAGTGATTTCATTTGGGGCCTGCAGACACGAGCGGTTTGGAGCCTACTTCAAGAGTTCCCCTCCATTTTCCCATGTCCATTCAGCTCTCCTTTGCTCCCATAGTCAAGCCAACTGCTTTGTGTTACTGAACATGCACAGCTTCTGAAAGAGCTGAGGAGACTCGGCCAGATTTCAGAAACAGGGCTATGTCTGATTCCAACATAATGTGCTCTTATCAGAACATTCCTTGAGTACGATGCACTGTCATCAATTAGGCCTAAAACCAGTTGTCTCGTGATGTCATCTCCTGAGTAAAATCCCAGGGACGTCACATGAAAGAAGACGGTGTGGTGTTCTGGGAAGAGACCAGGCTTGGGAAGCATTCCTAGGGATACTGACTGTCTGACCCTGGGCCCCCAAAACCTTTGTTTCTCTATCTGTAAAGCAGAGATAATAGCACAGACCTTGTAAATTTATCATGAGGATTAAATGAGATAGTAAATATAAAGGTTATTACTTCAGCCTGACCAACATGGTGAAACCAAGTCTCTACTAAAAGTACAAACATTAGCCAGGCATGGTATCATGCACTTGCAATCCCAGCTACTCAGAAGGCTGATGCAGGAGAATTGCTTGAACCCTGGAGGCAGAGGTTGCAGTGAGCCAAGATGGCACTATTGCACTCCAGCCTGGGCAACAGAGTGAGACTCCATCTCAAAAAAAAAAAAAAAAAAATTATCACTTTTAGTGGGATATTCTACATATTATCATTATGTAAAGCATTTTTAACTGTATTTTTTAAGCCTAGCTTTCTGCTTCAACCTACACAAAGGAACAAAATTTTCTTTTCCTGTGAAATCTCTGGCTTGGACTTTAGTATTCCAAGAAAATATAACTTTCATTGTGAGTCTTGCAAGACAATGACAAAATCTAACAGTGTTCTCTTAGTTTGTTTTTCTCTGAGACCTTCCTCTGCCTCTTTCCAACCTCCCTAGTGACGTTTTTAGGCCATTGTTTTTCTTCTAAATACTTCTAGAACAGTATTGAGCTCTCTATTAACTATTACTTAGCCAATGTTCCACTTGTCTAGTTCTTTTTATCTTTCCCTCTCACCCTGTCATTTCTGTATTTTTTTTCTTTGAATTCCACTCAGTTTATCTCTGTCTTGAGGACCAAGGCATCCTACGTAATGTAGTTTTCCAAGTGGAAGCTCAGCAAGGACTTACAGGAGATTTGGGAAACCAACTCCCTTCCTACTTCTGGGATAAGAAGATTAGACAAGAATGAGCTTGTCTACTTTGACTTTCTCCATTAAATTTACTACTGTCCTCAGTCATTAAAAAATGGGAAAGCATGCCTCCCATTCACAGCCTGCAACCGTTTGTTTTCAAACAACATTGCGATTATATTTTCTCTAGAGAGGAGGTATGGCATTGTACTTAAGTACAGAGATTCCAGAACCAGACATCTGGGGCTCAAATCACTTTTACAAGAAGTATAATCTTGGACCAGTCATGTAACTTCCCTAGGCCTAATAGTCTTGCTCATTTTTGCAAAATGGAAGTGATAATACTTGCCTACGGTTTTTATGGTAAACCAAACTGAGTTAATACGTGGAAAATGCTCAAAACAGTGCCTGATTATCATAAGAACTCAAGAAATGTGAGTTCATAACATTTCATCCTTGTTCTGCTTTTTAGAAAACCCTATGTATACTTAACATCCAAATACTGCTAAGTTTCCCTTTTAGATACTCATATATGGTCATCTTTCCCTGTACATCATTGAAAATGTGCTTCATATACTGTTCTTCCCTGATCCAGAGCATTACAAAAATAGATAAAACAGCAATTCCAAAGCATCTTCTAGTCTACTCTGTGCAGCCCAGCATCAATTTATCATTAGCTAAAGTGGAATGAAAGTTTTATTATGAACCCAAAATGCAACCGTAGTTTACCCCAAAATTAGTAAGTCTGGGATAGTTTTAAGAAAACCTGGTTTGAATTTTAGGTGAGCCTCCTTTCTACTCTCAAATGCTAAGAGAAGATTTATAGTTTCAGGTGGATACCAAATGAAATTTGGTAAGTTCATCTATGTTTTACTTTGAGTTTGTCATTTGAATGAATCAAACTTCATACAGCTTAATCCTCATATTTACAGTTTTTCTGCCATTTTCACCTCAGTTGATACAAAAATTAAATAAGAATTGAGACATGCTGTTCAGTATGTGAGCAACATGCAATATTACAGAATGCATACATTCCTTTGTCTCAGTGATACATAATTATGGGAAAAATATATTATTGGTAAAATGTGCTTTGATGAGTCAAACCATTTTTGCAGAATATTCTCCTTTATCTACTAGGATATTTATTTGCCATGAAGTTCCAAATGGAACAGATAATTAGCAAAATTGTCTGTTTCCATCAGCATTTAAAAATCTGCATTTTGCATGTCAGTTTTATCCCTGGTTCAGTTAAACTGTGACTTTAAAATCAAATTTGTATAATTTAAGCTTTCTTCATTTTTATATTTCATCCCCCAGAAGTCAGAAGCCCAGACTTTAAGCTAGCTAATTTCCTAAAATTATATGCTTGAGGTTTGGGAAGATTTAAGGATAGATATTTTATGTCAAAATGATAGGTTCACAGTTTGTGACTGATGATCTTGTACATATAAATGATATATGCCCATTAGACATGGGGGTCTTCTAGGATGAGGAGCTTAGGCAAAAGTGAGCTTAGAGAAATTTCTAAATCCTATGTTTGCAGAGACATGGGCAACATGCTTCCAGTTTCTGTTTTATTATAATACGAAATAATCTTTAAAAACTTACACATGAAGATTAGTATATCAATGAGCTCTGAAAAGATTATTTTGTCTGAAACTGGCTGTTTCAATCCAACAGTTAAGCAGAAGCTTTGTAGCTACATTACGCTAAATGCCTACTTTTAAATTTAACTAAACAAAGTTATACTGGGATAAAGTTTTTCCTTTAGAAATGTATACTATATAAAATTCCCCTCAAACACCACTACTATCTTTTCATAAGTTAACTACACTTTATACTATTTTAAAAATTAAAACCTGGAAACATAAAAGTCATTTTTTTCTTTGAATTTGTAGTCCCAAATCTACTGCTCATAAAAATAAACTTTACAACATCTTTGAGAATCCAAAAGAACCCCGGTCAAGATTTTTTTGGCTAGAAAAGAAAGCAGTTTTGATATTCAGAAATTTGGCTGCTCTTAGTCAATCCCCAAAAGGGAAAAATCAGCTAATCTTAGCAAGATGGTAAATTTAAGTGATTCTGTAATCTAACGTAGTCCTAAATCATGTTTTAAAATATGATCAAACAGTAGAGACTGGGAAAAGACAGAAACTTTAACTCAAAATAGAAAAGTTGAACATTTCTTTAAGAGGCCTTAATTCTGTTTCTAAATTAAAGCATGAATAGCATCTTACTGAAAAATAACAGCAAAGTTTGTGCTGGCATATCCCACTTAATAGCAACAAAAAAGGTTCACTTAACATATTCTACTACTGGATCATATAAAACTGTGAAACACCAGATTTTTGTTGGTCAGATATTCTGGGTGTCATCCTAGAGAACAGGCCAGCTATGGATGCACCCATACACAGAGACTAACACTCATGGAATGTAGAACTCTGCGCAAACACACACACACACACACACACACACACACACACAACCTGACCAGGCTCTGCTCTGGATGCTTGATAACTCTGGCATATTGTAAGCCCTGGAAAGAATTTTCATCTACATGGTTTGAAAATAGGGGCCTTTTAAATATGCTGCATACAATTTGTGGTGGTCATCTCTAAAATGCTGCTCCATTATCCTTTTCCATTTTGAATGAATGAGGCTAATTAATTTCAGGCCATACTTGATGAGGTCAGCACCATACGAGGGGTGTGCGCTAGACATTGCTAATCTCTTTCAGCTGAGAGTGATGAATTAAAGATGAAGCATGCCTTTGCAGGCCTAATTTAGAATGTATATCAAAAAAACCTACAGCAAATAATACTATACCCTACAACAAAGGAAAACTTGTTCTCTCAGGCTCCCTGAGTTGTGTTGATTTTAAAGACATTTTCAGTTGTCTTTGGAATTCCAGCTGTGGATGGATGAACCATATCAATAAAATCAAGCCATCTCTCACACATGGCCATGTGGACAAGAAGTGGGATTAAAGGAAAGAAAGAAAGAAAGAAAACAAAAACAAAATACAACAATCTGGGTTTGATCTCTTATGTATTAAAATTCCACCTACACATTAGGCTCATTTTTTTTCCCCGGAGCTACCAGACTAATAAAGATCCCAAATTAGCAATACCTGTATTCAGGCAATGACCACCCAGCTCTGCTGGGACATTTCACAGCAATGTGCTAAATGAGGCAGCCTTGTTTTTAAAGCAGATATCCTAATGAGGCTTATTAGGTTTTTCCATGTCTGTATTTTGAAAGCCAATAGAGATTGACCAGGTAGATAATGTGATACCTTTTATTATGCCAAGAAAGAAATTGTAATACAGATGCCTTGAGGCCAAAATGTTCTTATGAAAGTTAATGCTAAGCCAGCTTCTGAGTTGGGAAAAGGGAGGTACTCACTCATCTGAACTCTAAAGAGAAAAACGAATTAGTCATAATTTCTCAAAGATGACTATGACCTATTACAAGGCCCTAAGGGTGGCAAGGAAGGTGGTTTAGCCCAGAGACTGGGGAATATAGCTTGCAAAAAGTGTTTGCAGCCTATCTAGCAAGAGAAATCGTGATGGGTTATTCTAATGCATTGGAATTTCCAGCTACCTGGTGGCACCACGGCTCCTGACTTTGTATCCCAGTAGCCCTCATTAGACAAAGCTGCTTCGAATTAGGTCCAATCTGCATGCTGAATCAACCTTTCATCCCTTTGATTGCTTCTGAAAATATTTATATTTCTTAATAATGCACATTTTGTCTTGGAACTTCTGATTAAACCCAGACGGGGGGGTTCCAAAACAGGCAATGGATATGGAAGAGTGACTTGGGACAGGAAAAGATAAATAAAAAATGCAGGTTTTTCACAATTGAGGAAGCATCAGAGAATATAAATCTAGCAATTTGGGTGATGGAGGCATCAGAGGAGTGTTGTCATTAATACAGATTGGAATATTACTGTGACTTCATGGAGATGACAGAATATTCTTATTGTTGTGTGATTCTTCATTGCAGCCTCCATTACTGAATGGTGAATTTAACAGGTTTTATAAAAAACTATTGTGAGAGAGACCTAGAAAAATTTCATATTACAGCCAATAATAACTCACTAAAAGTATCACATCACAAAATAGAGAAATGGTTGTAATAGGGACATGATCAGATCATCTAAAGTGGGTTTTTTGTTGAGTGTAAGGAAGATGTTTTCAGGGGGTGAGGATTTCTGGTTTGGGAGCCAAAAGAAAGGGGTCCAGTTTCAGCTGCATCATCAACCAGCTCAATGACCCTAAGTCAGCCCCCTATCCTTTATAGACCTCAGGTTTTCCTTCTTTTACTTGGAAAAGAATGAAAGTAAGGATTTTATTACAAGTTTTAAATTCTATGGTTTTCTAAAGAACCATCCCTGTTTTAAGTATTCAGTGCTCTCTGGAGGCAAAAAAAAAAAAAAAAAAAAAAAAAAAAAAAAAGAATAGGAGACCTCCTTTCATGCTGAGTGTCCTCAAGACAGTCTCCCAGAAGTGGGAGCCACACCCTCTCGCAGTGCATTGTGTCACATGCCCCTACTCACTTCTGCAGAGATGGCTGTTGCCTCTCAGTTCCTCTTTTTTCCTCTTGGGCACCGTAAGTGACAGAAGCCCCCAAGTGCAATGTTTAGATTGATTTGACCCAACCACCTCATTTTAGAGATGAGGACCTCCTCCTCATCTCTAGGTTGAGGTCACCTACTTAGTAACTGGTAAGGCTAGAATTTAAACTGAGGTCTCCTGATTTCCAAACCAGGGTCTATTCTGCCATGACACACAGCCCAGAGTCTAAGGAATGTTATATTCTGAAAAGAAGTGGGGTTTCCTGTGACCATTCAACACAATTTAAGACTTCTTGTAATTGGAAACACAGGAACATAGGATAGGGCAGTAGCTTTGAATTCTGACTTCCTGGGTTTGAATAATATGCCTTCACCTTACTAGCAACGTGAACTTCGGGCAGGACCATTTTGTTTGCTTTTCATTGTTTTTTTTCTCTTGGATAATGGAAATAATAGCAGTATCTACAGCAGAGAGTTGCATAGAGATTAAAGTAACATAAAGGAATGCTTACCACAGTTCTGGTATACCGTAAATGTTAGCTGTGTTAGTATCATCATCATCTTCTTTATTTATGTAATGACGAGTGAAAAAATCCTGAAAGAAACCCAGGAGAAATAGGTTCAAATTCTGACTGTGCTCCTATTAGCTCTATTACCTCAGATAATTATCTGAGCCTCAGTTTACTCATCAGCAGAATGGGAATTGAAAATCTCTTCTTGAACAGGACTTTGGTAAAAATTAAATGAATCATGCACATGACCACATTTTTTAAACAGGTAGAGTCCTATACAATACAAGTGTTGATGGTTTTATCAAAACGTAATTATCCCTAGGTTGGAAAGCCTCTGGATGTTCAGGATTGGTTAATAAATGATAAAATGACGTCATGCCCCTGTTTTCTCAGATAAATCAACTTAAAAAAAAAAGATATCTAAAATACCATTGAATCACAAAAGAATAAATGCACCTCCCCAAGTTGCCATCGATTGAATTCAATTCTACTGTTCTCTACTTAAACTTCTAGTTTTTTCAGAATTTGATCTTACCAAAGAATTAGAGGACTATTAGGTCACAGGGCTTAGAATCGTAACCTCACTCTCTTCTTTGCCTTCCAAGTAAGGGAGAGAAAGATCTAAAAGTTTAAACACACACGCACACACTCACACACTTTATCAAATGTTACATGATGACCTCTAAGAAGCCTTCATACCCTCTCTAAAATACTGTCAACCTTTGCTATTGACCAGCTGCCTATTGTGTATAAACTTAAAAATATGTTTATTATTGAGATATAATTTTGTTTAAGCTAAAGAAGCATCAGGAAATAGAGAATTGTTTTGTACATGGGATTATTAAAGAGTTGGGGCCTAAAGGTGTATGTCTATTTTAAAAAGAAATTTTCTGATTGCAGATAACTTCTCAATTTGATTTAGTGTCGAACGATAGTGATGGGGTTGATAAGTGAGCATTCATCGGTAATTCATCTTGTGCTGGTAGAAATTTACAGCAAAGCAGTGCTTTCCCAACAGTGACAAGCCCTATTAATCTTCTTCAGACACATTTCAATAGGTGTTCCCATCTGTGGCCAACATCTAAACACTCTGGCAACACTGGCGACTTGAAGACACCTTCATTTCAAGTTACACTAGTGAAAATGTGATACTAGATTGTACTCTATTTTTTAACCTAATTCTCTCTCTTCATTCAATTAGCCTTTCTTGCCTGGATTTTTCTGCTCGTGTGTAACGTCATTTCCCAGGGAGAGCGCGCAAAGATTTGGTTTCTTAGAGATGCACAATCTCCCCCAAGGTTAGCAACCAACAACTTTTTTTTACAAATTAAAATTGCACAGATTCCAGTTCTGACAGTTGTTGGCCTCTGATCATGCATGTCTTAGAAAGTAGAACCTGTTCAAATAAATCCCTCCTGTGCATTGAGAGCGGCTGAGGAAAAGGGGAAGGTTATAGAATCCATTTGTGTTCATATTCAAAGGGCAGTTTACTATTCTGAACTATGATGTAAATTTCAGTGTGAGGGAATGCTGAGAAAAGGAGAGACAATTAAAAGAGGGTGTTGAAAAAGAAGCCCAGGGTTCAAAATATGTTTGCCCAATATATTCGGTCTACAGGATGAAATCTCTCTCCTGTCCTTCTGCATCTGTTGGAGGACCTCCCGTTAGAGAGGGAAATAAAATAATCACTGTAGTAATAGATTATTTCACTTAATTTGCCTTTATTCTACCAGCAGCATGCTCTGTCCAGCTGCAAGTTCAGACTAGGTGAAAAATGTGGAGAAGTTGTTTGATTTTGGATTGCACCTAAGTGCTTTTTTTATTGTGCCATTTTCAACCTCATAATGGGTTTGGTCTTGCAAAAAAAATTGGATTTGAACAGCATTTTTCTTGTACACTTTAGAAATCTTTTAAAAGAGAAAGTTCTCTGACACCTTATTTAGGAAAGGTTAGATATGTCTGCATAATGGATAGACTTTTTTAACTTCACTGAACTTTTTTTGTCATATGCAATCTGAATATATATATTTATGTACATGTATATATACACACACACACACACACACACACACACATATATATATGTTGGGAGAGTGTGTGCACATGCATGTATACCCCTATGTGTTACTGGTTTGTATGTGAATATACTTACATATGATAAATATAAGCATTTTCAAAAAATGTCTTCCTCCGTTCACACAAACTATTTTTCACAATGATCATTTGAGTTTGTGGGAGAGCTCAGTAACCTTATTGTAGGTGGCAAGTTTAAATGTGCCATATTAATAACTTGTTATCCAAGACAAATTAAGTTCTTATGTGTCAAAAGCACTCGGCACTGGATTATCCACAAGACAAGTATTTATTGAATAAATGTTGAGTCCAATTTCATTTTAACATGACTGACTGTACGTTTCAACCTCTTAGGCAGAGATGAAAACACTCAAACCTATAACCGTGTTGCAACATTACACCTAACTTGTCTATTTCTATTATTGTCTCTTAACTTAGAATATGGAAAGAAGGCTTTCTCTCTTTTTTTTTTTTTTTTTTTTTTGGTTGTTGTTGTTGTTCTGAAGAGCAAAGAGAAAGATAGAAAAACGGCTGGCATTCAGCCTAAAGAGAAATCATTGAAACAAATTAATCCTATGCTGTTTAAATTGACATGGTAATCCATCATCAGAGAAGGCAAACTCTGAAAGCAATCTAGAGTCTGCCCTGCTCTTTTGCTGGCCCTGGAGGCACAAAGATAGATAGTAAAGGAAGGAGGGGGGAAATCATAAAAAGTTAGGAATGCCTGAGAAAAGAATAAAATTGGTGATACCAGCTCTCACTGTCCTGCCTCTGCAAACCTCCTTTGGAAAGGAGAGGTTAACTCTCAACAGTTGATTTCCCAGCTTTCCCTCTAAGTGGTGGGTCTCTGGAGCTGGGCTCTAAAAGTCTGCCTCCCTCTCTAAGCTGCCAGGCTGCTCACCTCAGTCTAACCATTGCCTGCCGCATTTAAAAAGTTGACCAACCAGGAGCTTGACAGTACCCAGAGAAACAATTTAGTTTGCACAGAAACTTTCCCAACGTGGTAAGGGGCTTCTTTTATGGGGTTTAGGATTTGGGTTTCTTTTTATTTTGTTTTGTTTGTTGTTGTTCGGGGTCTTTTTTGGTGGGAAAGAGTGAGGAGACTTTTCTTCATTTTTATTTTGCACTTGATGAAAAAAGCATGTTGCTGTAAGTTTTAAGAGAAAAATTTTGTAACATCCCTAAAAACTGAGGCAAGATATCATGCCCTATCACTTTTATTTTGGAGGCTGATTTTTCAAATCTCTCTGCACTTCAAAAACCCTGGCATGTTAAAATTTGCTTTTAAATTTAAAAAGTATATAAACTGTAAAAGTGAACTGTCCCCTTAGTATATAGTTAAGATGGAAAATGATAAAAAAAATTTTAAAAACTTAGTAAGAGTTCCATTGTTCCAACCCACTGAGTCATAAGAACTGTTTTTTCTCTTGAGCTTAATTTATGTAATGTGTATTTATTTATTTATTTATTTTTAGGGGAGGAGACATTTTACAGAAATGCCTTTCTCATTATTGCCTGGACATACAAATTTGAACAAAAAAGTGAATATTATTTTTTCAATGTAGTAATGTATTCAACTACAAAGGCGAGACAATTTGAAAATATTTTTAACTTCAAAAATTCACTCTGTTAACAATAGATAGTATGTGAAGACAAAAAAACAAAAACAAAAACAAATATCTTTATACCCAAGACAAAAAGGTAGAAGGATAAACCATACCCAACAGCTGCTCTATTTTAATTTATTTAGGATAGCGTTCCTTCTAGTTTATTAAGAAAACTTAGCATGCTACTGAAACTTCAGAATAAACATCACACCTTTTTTCAATAACTAGAATTTTTATTCACTGCTTTTTAAAAGGGAGTGAATAATTCTTGCATAGTGACTAATGCTTTTTAAAATACATAAGCATAAAGACAAATTAAAGGCATTTCCAGGGTAAATAGGAAAGGAGAGTTAAAGACTCATATTAGATATTCATTCATCCACAGCCATGCCAGTTACAATTTTAAGAGTTGTTAGGAAATAACAGGTTTAGGTGTTTGTTTTTAATAGAACCTGGGGGGTTGAAATAGTAGCTCTTCCATAACTGAACATTCAAATTGCACTTCCTGAAAAAGATTTGATACTTTGGATTTTGTTTTCAATTTATATACAACGTAGACTTTAGCAAAAATAGTATCTAATTTTAAAAACCATTAAATTAACCAAAATCACGTGTAGGAAAATAAATGAGTAAATAAGCATAGGTTTTTATCACTCAGAAGGAGGCTAAGGAGAAAAATATCTTTTAAATCCTCACTACTTAAATATCACAATACCGCCTTCTTTTTAATTGCTTGGTAATGTGGCAACAAAGTATATGCAAATAAATTGCAACATATCTTTAGAAGTAAATAAATAAGTTTTAACAAACGTTCTACAAAGAAATGGGCTTCTCCAATTTGCTAACTTCTTCTCCCTGACATGTGATGTGATGTGGTCCGGCCAAGAAATGACCAATGTGACATTTTTCACTGAAGTCAATATTCCCTTCCTTTAATGTTCTCACTTTTCCTTTAAACTATTTAAAGTGACTTCCTCTCAATCAATTTACCTCAGTCAAGTACATAGAAATCTCCTAGATAAGGTGATTAATTTATTGCGGATTGCAATAGATGGATAGGAAAAGTACCTTTCTCTGCCTTGTATTCAAACTAAAAAGAAAAGTATGCATTTTATTTAAACAATACACTTTGTAAAGTCTCAAGCTAGTACTTCCTATGGTCAAGAAGCTGAATATGATGTTAAACAGCCTTCTCTTAATTTTATACAGAAGTTCTTTATTTTTAATACACACCTTCAACTTTTCAAGAAATCAGGCTTTTAAGAGGAGAGATGAGGTTGTAATTGATTTGTTCATGTTTCCCTATTAAGGCAGTCTGTCTGTCTCTGTCCACCTACTTACTCCTTCATATTGAAATTGCCCCCCAAAAAACCTTATAAAAACCAATAGGATGGAAATCATTCCTTAAATTATTTCTCTCCAACTGCAATTCATGTTGAGTTTGTATTTTAAGAAAATTAAATTATATCCCTTTTGTTGTTCTGCTTGTATTTTCTTTAAATACTACTGATGCCGCTAATTAACTATATTAATTTATCTGGGTATTTGCCTTACTAACACCTTCACGTTTAAATGAGTGGTACTTGATAGCATTTGATTAATACTTTTCTGGACATACCAAAAATTAAATGTCATTTAAAAGATTTTATTACCAGGCTCTTGAGAAAGAGAAAAATATAGACAGTAATTCCTCACTCTGTCCACTACTAAGTATGAACTGATGTCCTCATGGCTTTAGATGTCTTTGGAACTTTCTCAGCAGGATTTGCCTCACAGTATAATATTAGTATTAAAAGCATGTACAGCTCACATCAGACTTGGTTAAATGGGCAGAGAGCCCCCTTATGCCATCATCTCTAGCTATAGCCTATTCTCTTTTCATTCTTCAATCCATTGAAAAGTGAAATAGACCGAGTAGCATATCCCTGAATTTTTAAATAAATATATTTAGGCAAAAGATGCCCACCTTTTATTTAAATGTCCTGCCAAAGCTACCACACTGCAAAGTTGATGGTTTTGCTTTGAAGTGTCTTTCTATGATTTTGCAAGCCACAATAGCTCTACCATAGCTAAGTTGCTTCAGCTTGTATTTCAACAATGGTGATTCTAAGGAGCTCATTCAAAACTCTTTTTTGCACTGCCTTCTGCCTTTTTGCCAGTACACATGAGTGACAGCCTCTATCTAGTGCTTGAGTATATGAACTTTTAATCCATCAAGGAACTTCTAACACCATAAGAATATACACAGCCACGTGCAAACACCTTCATGCCTGTAACTATCATACAACTACCCATTAGAATGCCTTCAGGTTTGAAACCAGCAGAATATATTTTTCTAATCTCATCCAGATTTTATGGCTACAATTTGGCTACTGGCAAGATTCTAGAATTAGATTTTATTTAAATGAAATAAACCATGCACTTTCTTTTTGATTTTTTAAAACTCCCTGCCACAACAATCCACTGTTGTATACATGTTAGAAATATTTTTTTTTAAATGGACTAGAAGGTCAGTTAAATACAAGAAATATTTCACTACATGGTATTTTCTTATTCCCTAAAGTCCATTTCCATGGAGTGTGCTGCGGATGATGGATGAGACTGCTGTCTCTCTGAATGGAAACCTGCTTTCATAGGAAGGGTGGAGGTGGGAGAGGACCAGTGAAGGGCAGAGCTCTAAAATTCTGACAACTAGAGTGAATACACCCTTTCCTCCTTTCTTCCTCTTCTCCCTCCTTCCCTCACTTCCTTCTTGCTACAGCTACTTTTGGTAGATTACTGTAGTTAACCTTTGTTCCGGCCAAGACCAAGAAGGGTTAATGGACACCCCGCTCCTGACACCCTCCAGGTCAGTGTGGCGTGCTAACTTCCAACGCAGGAATTAGAGGATTACAGAGGAAAGAATGCGAGGCACCCGATCGCCTCACACCTGAACACGGTCGCTTCAATCCACTGGGATTTATACAGTCTTTTTTTCTTTTTAATAATTCTCTTGGATCTGTGGCTATATTTCCTGTTGCACCCAAGAGCCAAGCAGGGCATCTTGGATTGGATCCCTCAAGCTGCCAAGAAAATTGAGCAATTGTAGGGTGGTGTGGGGGTGAACCTTCCAACTAAATCAACACACGTAGGTAGCTATCAGTTGCTTTACGGAGAGCAGATTTTTAGGAAAAGGCCAGGAGCGGGAAAAGGAAGAAGAAACGAAAAAGATTCTCCCCTTTTCTTACCTTTCGCCCCTCCTTTCCCCTCCCGAAATTTGCGCCTACTTGATTATTTGCAGCCGTTTCGAACCTCAAGGTTTGTTCACAGTAGCGAGCGAGACTTGCGCTTGGAGAAGTGAAAAGCCATTTTCGCGCCAGGACTTCGCTGCTTGAGTTTGGGGGTGTTTTGCTTTCCCTCCCGGCAAATTCCCCTCAAAGCCTTGCTAACTTCAGCGAGCCCTACCAGCCTTTACTTGTGGCCACTTGGGTTCCCAGCACCCAGCCTAAGCGCCCCCCCCCCCACAGGTTTCCAACACTGGGGGAGGTGGGGGGGGGGTGGCCTGATATCCCCAAAGTGGAGTTCCCGCCTTGGAGAGGACGGAGACTTCCTGGGTGTCTGTCACCCTGCCCCCTGCCTTCCTGCTCGGCCTCAGAGGTCGTCCCACCTGCCCACGAGCAGCGAACCTAGAATCCACTCGCCCCGCAGTCCCCAGCGGGTTCCGCCACCCGGCGGCCGCCCTCGACACCGAGTGTGTGGGAAGAAGAGGCAACTGGTGGGGACGGGCCACTGAGACCTCTTGAAAAAAATATGAAAAGACAGGATAGGTAGAGATTTTTGCGGGAGAAAGTTCGAGGGTGCTTCGGATCGCGGCGGGGAGTATCCAAAATGCCAGCAGGAGAAATGCAACCCGCTTAGGCCACACCTTTCCTCCCCGAGGCTGTTTGGAGAGACAGCGTGTGGGGGACCTGCACGCATCCCCATGCCGCGTCTGCAATCCACTCCCGCAGCCACCTGGCCACGGCCACTAGCGGCGTGAAACCAGTGGCTCCCGAGCCATCGGCCCTGCGGCAGCCCGCACAGCCGTCACCCAGCGGCAGTACCACGAAGCCTGGCCGCGGCGGACTCTCCGCAGCTTGCTGCGCCCTCGCGTCTCCCGTCGAGGAGGGAGGGATGGAGGCCTGGGCCCGGGAGCTCCCTGGCGGTGGTTGGGCCGCCCCCCTAGAGGCCTGCGCCCCCCTCTCAGCCTCGCCAAATCCCTGAAAGCCCAGTCCCCCTTCGTCACCCCGGGGGCTTCTAATCACTCGGTATCGATTTCCCTAACTCTTTTCATCCTGTTGAAGACACATCTTAAAACACTCCAGCCCGGAGTGTGCTCTGGGCTTTATCCACACTAATAAAATGATTTACCCTTCTCTCCGCGCTCTCCTCACAGAGGAAAATCGTTCGAGTCTCGGCTATTTGTGTGTGATCAGTAAATATTTAGTGCGGTGACATCCTCAGCTAGGCTTCGGATCGATTCGGAGCCCACCGGGAGGTGCGCACGGTCCGGGCGGGGCCGCGCAGAGCTCGCCGAGGGGGCTCCTCCCGCCCTCGCCGCCGGCCACTGATTTACGGCCCCTGCAACCAGCAAAGGGGGGCGAAAGCGCGCCTGGAAAATTGGCTTTTCAACCTTTTACTTTTGACATTCAGCCACTTCCCCAGGCTCTAATTCTAGCCCCACTTCTCCCTCCCCCGCTACTAAGGGTTGCCCTGTGCGCCCCGAGAGTCCTTCCCGAGGCAGCGCGCGGCACTCGCGCCCCCTCGGCCCGGGGAACCACCTATCACAGCCCTGAGCTGCGACGCTGGGAGGCCCGGGCCGCTACTCTGGGGGTCGGCTCCTTCCAGGAGAGATGCTTTCCGCCCTCCCACACCTCTGAGGGAGGAGAGGGGGTGGAGAAGCCCAGAGCTGCATCAGCTGAACGACGAGCTGCGCTCCATGCTACCCTTTCTTCGACCCCTCGGCCTTTTCCCTACTCTAAAGACCGATCCTCGACGTCCAGGGGGTCGGATGGCGTCAGGTGGGAAGGTTACTTTCCTTGCAGAAAAGCTCCCCTTTCCTAAGACAAGAAAAAGCGCTTAGCTTGGAGATGTTAGGTGGAGGCCTCCTGCCCTGATACTGGCTGTGACACCATCGGTATCCCCTGGCCCTCCTGGCCACCCCGGGGCGCAGACGATTTCACTAGTGCAGAGGCGCACCCAGGACCTGAGCCTTCGGGCAGTAAGCTAGACATGGAGTAGGGCACTACAGGGTCCTGCCAGGTCCTACTGGACCCACCACCTTGGTCTGCTACGTTTCCAGAGTAAGATGTGAGGAATCCCGATCCGTCAGACTCCACCACTCTTGGGCCAGGGCTTCCGGCCCGAAAGTCTCCGACAATCTCGCCCACCTGTTAGCCAGCTGGTTCCCCTCTCACCTGGGGCCCGGGGCCTCTGCAATTCCCCTGGGGCCCAAGGAGGACGGTGCATGACCTTGCTGGGTCTAGGCATCTCTCCAAAATGCTAGCGCCCTCTCCTTTGTCCTACACATGATTTTCTAAACAACCTTATCTGCAGACTATATCTTTATACTAATGCATACTTAATTGGTCCGTCTTGACTGTCCATATAAAACAATTTAATTAGGGTGCTTTCTTGCTTTGGAGAGCAAAGAAAAAAAAAAAAAAAAAAAAAACCTGCCCAGTGCTTATTGTATTTAGCACCAATACAGGCAGAAAATGTAGCACAAGTTTTTGGTTGAAAGAGCACCTCTGTGCCCATTGAAGGGCGTTGATCCGAAAAGACAGAAAGGACAAGTAAAATCGATTTGAAGCGACCCTCTCTGTCCCTTTCACACCATTCAGAAACTCCATTCCTTCTAAGACAAAGACCAGCGCCTTGGGAATTCTCAGGGAAAAAGAGTACTCTAGTCCCACAAGCCTAGGGCACTTAAAAAAAAAATCCTCAATATTTCACTTAAAACTTACACTTGACGCTGTGCCCCCCAAGTATGGGTTTCCTAGATGCCCCTTCCAAAGTGTCAAGCTGTAAGGCTGACAAAACCCCACTCCCCTGCCCTGTCAGCCTTGTGGCCAGGCCAGCACAACCTTTTAGGGTCAGTGCAGCCTTCACCTTTGACCTCCGAGATCGGAGTGGATGCCAGCACTACAACTCTGGCGAAAGTTAAAAGAAAACCATAACAAAAAATTTTCTCTGCTCCCAAACCCAGGGAAACCAGTTCTGGTTCAGCCGCCTGAGCCACCTTACCCAATAGCAACCTCCATCCCTAATATTTTTTCCCCTTCTTTTGCAATGAACTGCCTGAGCCATCTCTGAAGAAGGGAATTTAAGTTGTCAGGGCATGGTTGGGTTGTGGGTGGGGTGAGTTTCCTGGTCTAACTAGTCCTCCATTAGGAACCCCCGGATGCCAGGCTATCCCACTGGTGCCCAAGCTGGGGAAGGCGGTCAAATCGATCAGAACTCGCAGGAAAGGGAGGAGGGAGAGAAGCGAGGTGGACAGGGAGGGAAGGGAAAGGCCAGGCTGTGATCACCTTCACCTGCCCTGAGCTCGGCCTTCCTGTTCAACTCTTCCTCGACCTTCGGCTGGGGATGAAGGGGGCGGGGGCGAAAGGGAGGGGGCACCCCCGAGTTACACAAGTGGCCTCCTTCTACTAAGAGAATGAGTTCACCACCTCCCCAGAGGAGCCTCACCATCCATCCACTCAGTGTAACTGATGAGACAAACCGCAAGGAAAAACTTCTCTAGCCCATATTTATGGTATTAATGAATAGTTAAAAAAGATTTACACTTCTTATGATCAATATTCTGAGTTATTTTGCTCAAAGTATATAATTACAGTGTCTTCAGAGTTTTCATCATTGTTTGAGGTGGCAAAACCATTTGTAATTTTCATTAGCCAGTAAACATGTAATTAACATTCAGCACTGTGTTTAACTTAATTCCTGTTTAAGACAAGGACAAGAAGCAGCCGAAGAGCGTTAGTTCCATTTGTCAAGTCTGACATACATCTTACCATAACAGTTTCCTAAAATAAAAGATCAGCATTTCCCCATTATTCTTCTCTTAAAACAAAACAAAACAAAAATCCATTAGTTAAAATTGTATTAAACTGTGAGAGCCAGCATAGTTTATTCTCAATTTTCACTAGTTACTGTATTCCTGCTTCCTTTATTCATTTTGGGGAGTAGAGAAAGGGAGGGGGTGAATTAAGCATTCATTATCTGAAGGCATGAAATGGGGAACCCCTCCCCCCAAAAGAAATAGATTTCTTCCTCAGGAAAGTTCTAGAATGAGGACCGGAAAGGGGGAGGCAGAAATCCACAGGGGAGAGGGGGAAAAAATCACTTAGGGAGACTTGAGTTAAAAGTAGAAAATGAGGATTCCAACGGATTCCTAGGAAAAATGTTGCCCTCCTGTTTCAAGTTCTATCTTTGATCCAGGGTGAGGGGAGCCTGTCTGCCAGTCTGCGAGGCTGATGCATTTTCCCCCTCCTCTTCCACCTCTGTTTTTTCCCAACTTGCTTTAGGATTAGCCTGCATCCCTCTCGACCCCAAACAGTGGAATTTGGCTGTGCCTTGGGTTGTCTTGCTTTGCAATATCGCCTATAGTGTTGGCGGTTTTCTGCTGAGGCTGAGCCGTTTGCTCCAGCCTCCGACTAAACTCATTAAGTTGGGAGATTTTTTTCAATTGGACGGGTGTTTTTAAAGTCTCGTCTTTCCAGCCCCAAACAAGGTGTAACAACGCACTCTTCCTTCTAAGGAATGAGATGAGAGACAAGGATCACTCCAGACATCTCCTACCTACGGTTTGGGGTTTTTTTTCTTAAAGGCGAGGCTTGCATTCCTCAGCAGCTATGTACAAAGCTCCCTGAAACCTTGTCTCTCTAAAGTTAGTGTGCAGGGTTTTCCAAGGCTGAGAGAGCCTAATACATGGGGAGGCACTTCCTTGAGGTGGAAGATCTCTCCCTTCACCTTTCCTCTTTTTCCCTGCAGGCTAGTGCCTACTTTTTATCAGTTTGCACAATCGCTTAGATAAACACCGAGGAGGAGATTCTCTTTAATTATCAAAGACACATCTTTTCAGGGGGCCAACAAAGCATTTATTTCCCCCGCCAAACTAAAGGAGAGTTATTCCAGTTTAGAAGGAAGATGCAAGCTGTTTGGGACCTTGAACAAGGCAAATATGGTTTTGGTATGTTTACTTACAGTATTTTTTCTCTCTCTTTCCTTTCTTACTTTTCTCCTTATGCTGTGTGGGGTTGGGGATGACTTGGGGCTTTTCAAAAAATCGGTTTGCTAGCGTGTATGAAATGCCGAGGACTGTGGTTTAAGGGGTCCGGGGAAGGGGGGAACAGAGTCAATTCAATGCATTGCCATATTTTATTACATGTGTGTGGTAGGGGAGATGGTGAAGGGGGCGAGGGGGAAAATACAATTGCAAAGCTGCCAGAATATGATTAAACCGAAGCGTTAAGACTGCGGAGCCTCCTATCTCCTCGTCCTGTCTCCTCAAACTCATTTCCTTCCATAGAGCAAACTAAAAACCAGTCCTATAAGCGTGGTTTTCCAAGCAGCAGATGACTCGGTTTTCTAGCAAAGGAGCTGCTAGGCTCGCACTAAGTATCAGAATTTACTGTTTGCTTTGCCTCTGCGCTTCGTTTTGCAACCTTGTGCAACTGACAGCCAGGCAGGCAGGGAAAGAGAAAAGCCTCGCCCGGCGCCCTCGGCCACGGTTCGGGTAGGCGAGCGCTTGGTTAAGCTAGGAGGAGAATCGCGACGAGAAGGGTACTCACCATCGGGCGGGGTGGTGGAGCTGGCGTGCGGATTTCAGGCAAACGTTTACCTTTTTGCTGTCTATTGCAACCGCGCCGGGCTGACTTAAGAAGCAATTCTGTGCTCTGTCCAGAACGTTCGAGGAACGGTTCCTCATTTTTAAAAAGCTAGCGAGAGAGACGACAGAGACAGAGAGAAAGAAAAAGAGAGGAGGGGGTGAGGGGGACGCACATAAACCCAGTTCAAAAAAAAAAAAAAAAAAAATCAACTCTTCGCCAGTGACTTGGGAAACGCAGAGGTGGCGAGATCCGAGTACCGTCCAACCAAGCCAGAGCCAATTAATTTTAAATCCCGAAGAATTATTCAGATTAAAATGTACAGAAGTTTCATTCTCCTATGCCTACGTGAGCCCAAAGTCGTTTCCCTTTAAGAGCTCCTTTTCTTTTAAAGTTGAATTTTAGGCAGCGAGGACTCTTACACTAGGGGGCAGACAGATACTGTACTTGCTCCAATCTTAAGCAATTTTTTCCCTCCCAGCATATGCTCTGATTTAGCACTGTAAATTTTTCAGAGGACCCAACTCTGACAGCCCCTGGTGATTTTCAAAGTACCACAAGCCAGTGGTTAAAAATTGCATTGACTTGGAAGTTCAGAGGGACACAATGGAAGCCCCTTTCCCTATTCATGGAGCTCCAGTGTGGTGGAAGAGAAAAACACACACGGACTAGATTGAGGGAAAGGAGGAATTCAATGAATCCTGGAGGACGGAACTGGTTTCTACTGAGTTCAGAGTTAAACTCGGCATTTGCTGGGGTCTGTATTCATATTGTGATTTAATCTGTAAAGAAATACAGCCCATCAGGCCACTTTCTGCAAGAAAATTATATTCCTAGGTGTTGAGTTTCTTTCTTTTCTTTTTTAGATTAGGGCAAATGTTTTCCCAACTTTCTCTAGGCAAATTAAAGCTTGCCATTCCTCTCATTAAAATAAATTTACATCTCCAAAAAAAGACTGAGTCCGATTTTTATGAGACAATAGTAATATATTGATTTTATCTTCTCAGAGCTTTTTAACCTTAGCGCCACAGCAAGTGAGCGTCTCTGGAGAAGACATTTTACAATATTTTTGCCTCATTTTTCTCTCAATCTGTAGTCTTGTCTCCTCTTCTATGCATTAAAATTAAGTATCATTTATACTGTGATTTTTCCACCTTGTAACTTGCATTTTCATAACTGAATGAGTCCAAAAATACAGAGCAAAACACCCCTGACTTCATGGCAGCCCTGTGATCATTTGCCTAACAGGCTTCAATTTTTAAAGATATGGTTGGGAAATACTTCATTTTCAATCTAAGGCCATCAGAACATACTTCCAATTCCAAAAATCTCTAAGTGAACCAGGGAAGCTCTTCCTCCTCGATATTGTCCCTTCCCTGTTGGTAAAAGGTAATCTGCTATGGAAGTCTCCCCATTCAGGAGGTGAGATTAAGATTTCCCTATAATCAATTATTTTCATCCTGTATTAAATTGAGATGGGAATACCCATTAGATTTGCTATCTCAACCCCAGCATCGTCACATCTCAGCTGAGCGTGTCCCTAATCTACTGACATTTGTAACATTAGCAATTCCTAAATCATATAGGTTGAAAGGAAAAACAACAACAACCAAAAACCTTCTCCTCTGTAATGATTTCTTTTCCATTCTTCTTATCCTCTTTAGAAGAAAGTTATATTGTATCTCTAATCAACCTGAAATTCTCAGCTTGGCTTCACTCTGTGGCAATCTTATTACACACCAGGTTTATGATAGTTCAGTGTCCACTATAGGTTTGTTGGACTTAAAAAAAAAAAAACAACTTTCAAATAAACCGAGAACCTTCAGCTTTAGTGAAAGACATGATTTCATCAGAGAAAGAGTAAGGGCCGAGGAGGTTTCAGGAATGAAGCTTAAAGAAGATTTTTCTTTCCTAAAAACAAGCCCCCAGCTGCCCAGATATTTAGTCCCTACCTCATATTCTTCCTATGTGTGTAAAGAGAATTGAATGGAAAATGTAATCTATACATGTCAATTATATGTATAGTTTGTTTTAAAAATATCTTTAGTCTGTCAGTTTTTTTCAGCTACCAAGGATGCTTTTCTGTAGTCGTCAATTTACTCTTCATATGTGTTCATTTTTTTTTTCCCCTGGAGCTCAGCGTCTTTTGTGTAAAATATTTTAATTGTTCAAAAACCTGGTTGGCTTACCGGCATAAGGTTTTTTTCTTGGTGCAAAGTGTGTACAAAGGAGACACAATTTTCTTATATAAATGTGGAATAATGATAATTCACTAACTGGTCACAATGAAACAACAAGGTTACTGCATTGGAATATAGTGTGTTCTGAGAGCAATTCTACATGTTTGATGTTTAAAACCAGACACCCTGGAATTCAAAGACACAACTGTCTCAATTATTTTAGCACATGGAGCAGAATGGCAATCGTCTATGAAGTTGTTCTTTTTGCAGTGACTTCTGGAGGTAGAACATGGCTTGTGTGTGGTTCTTGTGACCTGTACTGGTATTATTTCCCATTTGGGGCAGAATCTCTGGGTGCCTTTTAATGACTATATGAATGCTTAAAAGGAACTTGAGGAACAATGAAGTCCGTACTTAACTGTTCTATGACCTAGAAGCATAGTCGGTGAAGTCTTTGTCTGTGTACATTGACAAATGTGTATCTGATACATGTGCGTTTACATGTGTGTACAGAGGGTATGCACAGGGGAGGCTGGGCAGCTGCCTCCTCCTGCCCATCAGCGGGCAGAAGTCTTTCCCCTCTCACCATGACTGGGTATGTGGCAGGATGTTGGCTGGAGAGTTAGCTAACACCAACGAGAGAGGGTAAAGTTGAGAAAAATTGATTTTAATTGCGTCATGACAATGAGGTGAAGTCTACTTCTGCTCCTTAGCATCCGAGACGCTTTATTTGGGCAATTAAAATGTCAGGCCACATACCTGTGAAATGTTAACCCTACAAGGAAAATACAGAAACAGAACGGCCTTTATCCTCTTAAAAGAAATATATATTACATATATACATACATATATATATATATATATATATATATATGCCACCAAACCGAACAAGTGATCAGAGTTGATTAAGAGAAGGGTTTGCTATCACCTGGATTTGGCCAAATCTTTCGTTTGGGAAATGCCTGCAAGCTCAGTTCCTGGCACCTTCCCCTCCTCACTCCCTACCTCTCTGCAAAGAATCCAGGGAACTTTTCTTTGGCATTGCGGGCACTAAGATGCGCCAGGAGTCCCGGGTGGTGCGCGAGCGGCGGATTTAGTGACATCGCCAAGTTGCGAGAGGCGAAGTCCCGGATTCCATCCAAAGCCTCTCGCGGAGCCTTTAAGAGACGTTGTGTGTGCGCGCGGCGCTAGTCTCCCCGCCGGGGCGGAAACCTCGGGTGCGGGCTGTGGGGACCGCGGTGGCAGGGCTCCCGGGGCCAGCCCGGGCCCATCCGCCGTTCGGCGGCGGCGGCGCGGCCACCCCGTCCCCGCCCCCCAACCCCGGTCCCCCGCGCGCCCAGCGTCGCGCCTGCGACGCCGCTCGCGCTAGGACCGGGCTGCTCCTGCAGCCGCCATGGCGGGGCCGCGGCGGTCCGGCCAATGACGGCGAGGGGGCGGCGCGCGCGCGCCTGGCCAGGCCAACCCCGGCTGCTGCCTTATAAGGCGCGCCGTCGCCATGGCAACGTGCGCTAAGTTGCAGCAGTCGTGTCAAAGTTCACTATATAGAGAGCTCAGTGAGCTGATCGCGGAGAAGCCACTTCTGCCAGCCCCGGCGCCTATAAATCGCATTCCCTCCCGCGCCCCCCTTTTTAGCATATTTGATCACTTTGATTCTCTGTTCTTTTCTCTCCGCGGTGTGTGTGCGTGCGCGCGTGTGTGTTTTCTCCTCCTCCTCCTCCTCTCCCCGAGTTGCCTCCTTTCTCCGGGTGCCGAGCTGCCTTTTTCCCGTCTTTCATTCTTTCTCTCCGTCTTTCTCTCCCCCCTCCGCGCACGAAGGATGTGCTTCTAGGTGGTGATCTGCCCTCCTCTCTCTCTTTTATCATTTCTCCCCCGCCGCCGGCGAGTTGACTCTTTCCCTATGTGTGTGAGGCGGCGGCGGCGGCAGCAGCGGCAGCAGCGGCTCCGGCGGCGGCAGCAGCGGCAGCAGCGACTTCAGCGGCGGCGGCGGCGCTAGACGCGGCGGCTCCGGGCCCGACCCGGCGGCTTCGGCGGCGGCTCCGGCGGCAGCGGCGGCCCGGGCGGCCCGCAGGGAACGGCGAGCGGCCTCCACCCGGCGACTGCGGGCGGCGGCGGCCGGAGAGAGCCAGGCGCGCGCCGGACGCCCGGGGCAGGCGGCGGCGGCGGCCCAGCGCCAGGACGACGCCGCGCAGCGCCCGACGCGGACCACTTTCATGCTGATTCCCCCGGACCCGGGCAGCGCTCCGGCCACTCCGCGGGCCGCCGGCCTCCGCCTCGGCCTGCCTGGCTCCCTGGGCGCGCCCGCACCCGGCGCCTCCGATCTCCTAGTCCTCCTGATTTCGATGGCTTTCCTGAATGGCTGACTGTGGGCTGCCCTGGACTTGGCCCCCGGACAGTCGCCTCTCCTCCTCCTCCTCCACCACCTCCTCCTCTTCCTCCTCCTCCTCCTCCTCTTCCTCCTCCTCCTCCGCCAACTCCTCGGCTGCACACCAGCTCTAAGAGCGAGAGAGTGAACGAGAGAGGGAGGGAGTGAGTGAGGGCGAGCGAGATCTTTGGAGAGATTTTTTTTTTTTGCCTCCTACTTCTGTCTTGAAGCCAGACAATCGACTTCAGCTCTTCCTCCCCTCCCTCTCTCTCCACGTTCTGCTCCCACTCGCTCTCCTGTCTCCTTCCCCTCCCCTCCCGGCGGAAAGCCCCCGAAACCACAAAGCTGAGCCGAGGGGAACAAACAAAACAAACACACCGGGCCAGACAAGCAATCGACAAAACTTTGCAAAAGCAAAAACAAAAAAGGAAAAACTAACCAACCTCAACCAACCAGCCCCCGAGCCACCCGGGGCGCCCTCCCGCGCCCTCTCGCACCCTCGCACACACAAAAGGCGGCGCGCCGGAGCCCGAGACCCGGGGAGCCGCCGCCGCCCCGCCGCCGCCCGCAGCCAGGGGAGCAGGAAGTCCGGACGCGGCCCCCATAGATATGGCAATGGTAGTCAGCACGTGGCGCGACCCCCAGGACGAGGTGCCCGGCTCACAGGGCAGCCAGGCCTCGCAGGCGCCGCCCGTGCCCGGCCCGCCGCCCGGTGCCCCGCATACGCCACAGACGCCCGGCCAAGGGGGCCCAGCCAGCACGCCGGCCCAGACGGCGGCCGGTGGCCAGGGCGGCCCCGGTGGCCCGGGCAGCGACAAGCAGCAGCAGCAGCAGCACATCGAGTGCGTGGTGTGCGGGGACAAGTCGAGCGGCAAGCACTACGGCCAGTTCACGTGCGAGGGCTGCAAGAGCTTCTTCAAGCGCAGCGTGAGGAGGAACCTGAGCTACACGTGCCGCGCCAACCGGAACTGTCCCATCGACCAGCACCACCGCAACCAGTGCCAGTACTGCCGCCTCAAAAAGTGCCTCAAAGTGGGCATGAGACGGGAAGGTATCGGCCTCTCATTTCTCCTTCCCTCGCCCTGGGTCCCTGGGTCCTGGGTACGTGTGGCTAGCCTGCTCTGGGTAAGGACAAGAAGCCCCGAGCTCTTCTCTTCGTATTGCAGCGGAAAGGGGTTTTATACTAGCAGCGAGTTCTGCATTGGAACGCAGACCCCCAAATCCGCATGCTTTGGCCGACTGATTTGCTTCTCTACTCTGTCTTTGGGCTGTTTTCATTTCCTTTGCATTGATTGTGAGTTCGCTGGAGTCCGCCTTTCTGCAAGGGATTGGGTGTTTGATGTTGTTATTGTTGTTGTTTTAAAGCCTAGTATACTTCTCTCTATCTCCTCTTGTTTCTCCTGCATGTTCAACATGTCCCTTCCTCACCCCTTTCCCCAGCCCCCACCCTCTCAAAAAAAAAAAAGTCCCCAACCTGAGATTGTACTTTTGTACAGGAGGTTCAAATTACAAATGGCAATTTTATGCACTTCGTCGTATTAACGCTGCCGCCCGGGCAGCGCTCATGTGACCCTCCGTGGATTAACATTCTGCTAAAAAAAAAAAAAAAAAAAAAAAACCTCTGCTTTCCTTTTTCCTTTCACTTTTGAAACGAAGAGAGCGCGATAGGAAGTAGGAAAGGGTGGGCGAGGGGCCCTGGGCGGTTGCTTTCGCTCTGTGCGAGTTGGGTCTTTGTGATATAAAATTCGCCGAGCGCCGCGAGCCGTGCTCTGCCAATGGCGCGCTCGGCGCGGGGCGCGGGCTCCGGGTTGGGGCGAGCCGACGCCGGGGTTTCTTTGTGCTTCTGCGAGAGCGATTCTCCCGGCCCGGAGTCAGATAACAGGCTGAGCCCGAGCCTAGCCAGCTTGCCCCGGTCCTTACAGGCCCTGCCCAGGCTCCGCTAGTGCCGGCTGCCTGCTCCCTGCCTCTCCCGACTTCCTCTCTCCTTAGCCGGCCTCTTTCTCTCCGCCCTCTCCCTCCGTCTCCTTCTCCGAGCACACTGATTAGACAGACGCCAGACCTCCGCTCTCTGCTTGTCTCTCACTGGGGGTTCCCCGCCGGGCTGGGGCTGAGGCTTCGGGGTTTGGGGGAGAGTCGTTCCGGAGTGGTCACAGGCCGACTGGGGTGAACCCCTGAGCCTTTTGCAAAAGCGTCTCACCCTCCCCCCAGACTCGCCCCTCCCGTTCCCTCTCCTCCAATCAATAAGAAATATCAGCTGTTTAGCAGTAAAGAAGAAAGATGCCCTCAGAATGCTACATCCCGCCCACAGCGCCAGGGACCCCAAGGCAAAGTGGCCAATTCTGGGTCCTCGGCAGACCAGCCCCGAGCGGGCCTTGGAGGCAAGTGTGCTCCTCTGGCCCTCAGAGCTCGCCTGGGTGGTGGTTTGGAAGGCGTAGTGCCGGGAGCCTGGCGACTACAGGTCTGTGGCAGGCCTGCCTGGTTCTTGCGCTGCTCAGGGCCTGGGTCAGGTGGGGGTCGGGCTGGGGCAGTCCCCGCCGGGGCGCCTGCGGTCTGAGGCTGGTCATTAACTGTGAAGTGTCTCCTTTCCTCCCCGCAGCGGTGCAGAGGGGCAGGATGCCGCCCACCCAGCCAACCCACGGGCAGTTCGCGCTGACCAACGGGGACCCCCTCAACTGCCACTCGTACCTGTCCGGATATATTTCCCTGCTGCTGCGCGCCGAGCCCTATCCCACGTCGCGCTTCGGCAGCCAATGCATGCAGCCCAACAACATCATGGGCATCGAGAACATTTGCGAACTGGCCGCGAGGATGCTCTTCAGCGCCGTCGAGTGGGCCCGGAACATCCCCTTCTTCCCCGACCTGCAGATCACGGACCAGGTGGCCCTGCTTCGCCTCACCTGGAGCGAGCTGTTTGTGTTGAATGCGGCGCAGTGCTCCATGCCCCTCCACGTCGCCCCGCTCCTGGCCGCCGCCGGCCTGCATGCCTCGCCCATGTCCGCCGACCGGGTGGTCGCCTTTATGGACCACATACGGATCTTCCAAGAGCAAGTGGAGAAGCTCAAGGCGCTGCACGTTGACTCAGCCGAGTACAGCTGCCTCAAGGCCATAGTCCTGTTCACCTCAGGTAGGAAGGAGCCCTGTCCTCTCGTGCCCACGGGCTCCTAGCCCACAGTTGGGGCTCCGACAACTTGGGAGTCCACAGGGGAAGCCCAAACTCCTCCTTGAAAGGCCAAACTGTTGAGTGCAACTTGAAGTGGGAACTTTGTATAGCTGCTGGGCACCACCAGGCTGTCCTGGGGAGAGGAGAGGAAGGCTGGGCAGCAGGAAGGATGCTTCAGATAGATTCCCCTATATGGGCCACAGGGCAGCCTCTGGTGCCTATTTCCCCCACCTGCAGAATCCAGATTGGGATGCACTCTCTTGCTGCCTTTCCTGAACTCAGGCCCTCTGGGCCTGCTGGGTCTTGGGGAATCTCCTCAAGTCCTCCGTTTTCTCTAGCACCCTGGCTGGGCCTCCATGAGATGCCCCTGGGCACTGCAGCAGCTCTGACATGGTCTCTGTAGGGGAAAGTTTGCCTGCTAACTCAGTAGGAGTTGGAGCTCCAGGTAAATCCAACCTGAGGGCAGCAATTTTCAAAATCATATTCTTATTGAAATAATGCCAACTGCCAGGAGAGGGGAAAAGAGCTGTCAGGAAGGGGCAAGAGGAGGAAAGGGACCATCATAACTCTTCGGAATGTCTGCAGGAGGTTGAAGACTCTGGCCTCTTGCTTCACCTGCCCAAGCAAACACTCAAGGCAATTTTCAAACAACCCAAAGTATATGCCAACTTGGGCTGGATACGAATGTTGCTAGAGATATAAAACCATCATTGACTGCATTATGCAACCTAATTAGTTTGCATGTAGTTTAACCTGTGTGAGTAATAGATCTGATATTAATTAACTCTTGAGGCCAGATGATTTTTGAAAGTATCTGGCTTTCCATTTGGGGCCACACCTGAGCCTTTTGGCTGCCTCCAGGCTGTTCAGCATAGCCTAGGTGGATGGAAGTCACCACTCCCCTTTCACATTCTTGAACTAAGTTGTCAGCTGATCCCTTTGTCATGGCTGAGAGGGGAAAGGGGTTCCCGATTAAGTATAACAAACATTTGGACATTAGCAAGGCTTGGAACCTAGTCACCCACTACAATTTTTTCAGCTTGTAACAGGAAACGAGGAGAGATGTGTAGTTTATGTGGCAATCATAAAGGAGGTCCACAATCTCTTCCTTATTGTTTGAAAGAAGTCTGGGGAACCAAGTCGTTAGCAGAATGGCTTGCAGGTTCTGAGTCCTCAAACTGCTGTCTTGTATATTGCTGCTTTCCACATAAAATCTCCTGCACAGCCACCCTGAATTCTGCCTTTGGAAGTCCTTAGGTAATCAATGAAAGGTCAGTGTCTGGGCAGGGAACCTGCTTGCAGAGGTTTGGATTGGGATTATTTTTCTTGAGAGCCCCTCATCTCTAGGACATTTGCCTGCTGCAAATATACAGGCAGGATATTTCCCTACCTCATAGCCACCTTCACCCCATCCCACAACACAACACCCTGCCCACCTTCTTGGACGATGGAGGTGGTTGTTAATTTCTTTGTATCATTGTTATCTCTTAGCCTTACTCTGGGTCTTTCAAGGAAAAAAATGCCTGATACTGTCGTTAACAGTTTAATTTATGACTATTTGCAAAATGTGAAGGCCTGTGTGGAGAATGCAAACCACCTCACAAAGAGATAAAGGTTCCTGTTATCTGATTCAGAGGGAGACACACAGTTCCGATGATGCTGCCGAGAGGAGTCCTATGCAAACAGATCTTTTAGTTCCTGACCACAGACACCTCTACATTCTGTAGACAGGCAGAGTCCTAGATATACATAATGAGGAGGTTGCCTGTGTGTTCTGGTTCTTGGGGTAGAGGTGGTGGTGGCTCTTTTCGAATATCTGTTTTAATGATTCACAATATGCATGTGTTAACCCCAGTCTTGTCTGGGGAGCCCTGAAAGGTCAGGTCACAACCTGAACCGCCTTTACCAAGAAGCCTCTCATTTCAAAGGCACTTATTGTGTTTTCACGTATCAGAAAAAGAAAAGTGTTTTCCTGAAGATAACAGGGAGGGGGGATGCTTCTTGGAGGGACCTGGGTTTTAAAAAATAAAGAGGGGGGGTGGGAGAAAAAGGGAGAGAGAATAAAAGGGGGGAAAAGAAACAGCTCAAATGAACAGAGAGATCACAGTTTGCATGGCTGCCCTTCAATAGGCTAAACTGACAAGATCAGTTTTAAAGGGCCACTTAAATCAGTTTCAAAGACTGGAGAAAAATGAGTCGCCCTCTTTGGGGAGAATCTGAGGCTGGGTCGTGGACGCCTTTACGCAGGACAGGGCCAGGTTGTCCACCCTCAACCCCCACCAACCCCTATATAATTATAAGGCAAACTATTATTTACAGAGGAGGAGGGGAAAGAGTGCTGGCAGTTTGGGTTTCTTCTGTTTACCGACTTGGGCCAGACAGACCCAATGCACTTTTGCTTGAGTCTCTCAATGACCCAGGCTAAGCACTCGGGCAGTGAAAGCCTGTAGCACACTGAGCATGTTTTATTTTAAAGCAAACACTTCAGGACCATCTCTTGCTCTTCCTCCCCCCCCACCTCCCATTTAAGTTTTCAGTACATAGGCATTTGCTCCAACTCCGGTTGGGGCAGTTTGACAGAGCTCTGTGCACACACCTCATGTGACCCATTTCAAGCCTCTTAATCTGATGACTGAATTCTTCTTCTTCTTCTTCTTTTTTAAAACTTTCTTCCAGATGCCTGTGGTCTCTCTGATGTAGCCCATGTGGAAAGCTTGCAGGAAAAGTCTCAGTGTGCTTTGGAAGAATACGTTAGGAGCCAGTACCCCAACCAGCCGACGCGATTCGGAAAGCTTTTGCTTCGCCTCCCTTCCCTCCGCACCGTCTCCTCCTCAGTCATAGAGCAATTGTTTTTCGTCCGTTTGGTAGGTAAAACCCCCATCGAAACCCTCATCCGGGATATGTTACTGTCCGGCAGCAGTTTTAACTGGCCGTATATGGCAATTCAATAAATAAATAAAATAAGAAGGGGGAGTGAAACAGAGAAAGAAAAGGCAAAAGACTGGTTTGTTTGCTTAATTTCCTTCTGTTAAGAAAGGATATAAAAAGATGTTTCAAGTTTGCTAAAAGAAGAGAGGGGAAGAATTTAATGGACTGTGAATTTCAAAAAAAAAAAAAAAAGACTGTCAAATGAACTTTTACAGAATGCATTAAAAAAAAAAAAAACTCCTGTGTCGGTCAGAACAACTTGCTACTTATCATTTTTGTATAAAAAAGGAAATTAGTCTTTTTCTTTTTTGGGTAAATTTTTGAAAAATATTGCTAAAAGTGCATTTAAGGAGATTGGGAGACAATTAGCAGAATGGAGAAAGTAAGTCTTTTTTTTTTTTTCCAAATTATTAATTGTCCTGTGTCTATGTACTTCTAGCTGTTCTTTTTTGTACTTTTCTGGTTCCAAACCAGTTTATTCTGTGGTTCTATAATAAGTTTTGATATAATCTTGGCTTCTTAAAAACTGTGTATCATTAAAATATATGTTCTGCAAGAATTAAAACTGAGTCCATGAAAATATCATAGGAAGACATAAAACTTTAAAAGGCAACTCAAAGATGATGGAAACGCACTTACAAGTGGTGACCAAAAATTTTAGGTGAAGTTGAGCACTCTAATTAGAGAACCGGAGGAACCACATATATCACTTAACTCCCTACCCTGCCCCTCCCCAAAAGACACCGAGACAAACCTAGCTTTTAAAAAATATTTTAAGAAAGAGAATGAACTGTGGAATTTATTGGCAGCCAAGGAATGTGTCCAAGACACATGCTGAGGTTTTGAATAAAAAGTGAACTTTTGTAATTTGAATTGGGTCCCGCTTAGTTCTTGAATTGTTATGAAAATCCTATATCTGTTTGTATATTTGCAAACCCTTTGTATTATAATTGTTGATATTTTCCCTTTTTAAAAAAATACCATTGAAATCAGCATGACAAAAATAACACTGTTGGCACTTATAGGTAACGTGATTGATTCAGTATCTTAGAGTTTACAGTTTGTGTTTTAAAAAAACTGAAGGTTTTTTTTTAAGTGCAACATTTCTGTATACTGTAAAAGTTATAATAACTGAACTGTTTGGTCGAGTCTTTGTGTGTTATATTCCAAGGAAAATTGAAAGTATTCAGAAATTAAAATATTATTTGATATCTGAAACCTGGCTGTCCCCACTCACTGTCTACATCCAGAAGAGCCCCTGTGAGCTCTCGCTTAGTCGGCCGGGGGGAGGGCCCCATTTGTTTACTCCCCTTAGTCAGTTTGTTCAAAGGTGGACTAGTGTATTTGCCTGTTTAATTTGGGTGTGTGTGGGGGGGAGCTGAAGTTAATGGTTTATCTATGGTTTAGGAAGTGCCATACTGATATAGTAAACCACCCCCATTCACCTAATCCTCCTTTTAATTAAAAATGGATTTTCCAGGAAAAAAAAAGGCCCTTATATTTGTCACACTTAAGTGCCTGCTTAGGGAAGGTATTGTGAAAAAGTATTAGAAATCTTGAGATCAGTATCTATTTTATGATCAGAAAAAAATACTCTTTTGTAGATTTCTGACAGTTACTCAGAAGATCGTTCAAGCAAGCTAATCACAGCATTGTAACTAGAGGGCAGTTGTTTGCAATGAGTTTTTCCTTAAGTAGGTGAGATTTTAAAAAATATTCTGTGGTTCTGCTCTAGCGTGGTTGTTGAGAGGATTTCAAATTCAGTGATACAGGTTATAAGACTGAAGGGTCTGTTTTTTATGTATATATGATAACTTGCAGTTGAGTTCCCTCTCCCCTCCCCCGCTTTACCTTCAGTCTGTGAGAGCATGACCACAGGGTCAAGGGAATCTTTTCCATTGGAGTTATGTACATAAAAACACATCGACATTTTGACATTTCAGATTGTATAGCTACAGTCTGTACTGCTCTTGGGATCCTTTGTCCTTAGAAGCCAAATTAAGAAAGAGAAGAGAAAGCAGGACAGAGAAAAAGAAAGAAGGAAGGAAGGAAACTTTACAGGGTGTGCTGATTTGGAAGTAGTAACTATTTCTTTTGGAGTCTTTTTTCATTTTTCCTCTTTCTCTTTTCCTGGTTTGGAGGACGCTCAGTGCTGGGAGCTTGCAATTTTGTTCTTATTCAAGGTTTCCAAACTCCCCCCTGCCTCAGTACTTCATCATGTTTTGGTTTAATTTTAAGTGGGGGGACTAGTGAGGGAGGTGAAAGAAAAGGGATAATTTTGTAAAGTGTATTAAACTTTAATATTCAGTTCCCAGTCAATACATGCAGACCAGTAAAATCTGATTTGTGCAGAGTTCTCCATCTGACTCTCACTTCTTTCTGTAGATATATACATATATAAATACAAGTATGTTCTTACGGCACAGTATTGCTGACCTTTAGTTCGAGGTTTTGTTGGTTGTTGTTTATTTTCTTCCTCTTGCAAGTGGTATCCATGTGAGTGTGTGAAGTTTCTCTAATAAGTAAAACACAGGCCCCTTTCCTTGTTTGTTTTGTGTTAGTTTATTGTAAACAGCCATTTGTTGTAAATTATTATTGGCATTAAATTATAATTTATGATTTTCAAAGCAAAAGACAATCCCTGTTTTATTATGCTTTAAGCATGTGTTCTGGACGTTGGAAATCTCACACTCTTAAGTTTCAGCAATGAGCTTGGGGTCTGCGAGGCAGAAAAACAGGACCCCAAATTTTTCAACCGGTTAAAACAAACCCCCTTGTATATGTTTAGAGTGGCCGGAGGAGGATCTGTTTAGAGTCTTGAGTTCGGTTTAAGTTTATTGCATTTAAAGAAAGTTTTTCTTTTCACGCTGAGTTAGAACAAAAGATCTTTGCTGCGACTGAATTGGACAAAAGACGAGGGCTGGGACCCAGCGAGCGCGTTCTGTGTGAAATTGACGAGATCTTTAAAAAAGCTGCTAAACATGGCGACTCTTTCCCTTTAAGTGTCTCTTTTTCCTTGCTTTTTTTTTTTTTTTTTTTTTCTCCATCTGATCTGAGCTCGCTTTATTTCTTTTCCCAACCCCGCTCCCCCTCCTCCTCGTGGCGCTCGGGGGTGTGAGAGAACCCAGTTAGACGCGAAATGCAACAATAGTGCAAGGAGAGAGAGAGGGGCGCTCGCTGCTTCTAGCCACTTTCAAACAAACCTGGGGGAAGATTGAGCCCGGGGGGGTTTCTAGCCGGCTCGCTCTGCTCGCGGTCTCCCAGCCTCGGCCTTTCACTATTAGCTCTCCCCGGGCCACGAGGAGCTGGGGCTCAAAGTTAGCGGGCGACGTCCGAGACTGGTTCCGCGAAGACGGCTGGGTTAGCATCCAGCCGGCTGCAGGGACGGAGGCCTGGAGTTGGTAGCAGCTGCGGCGAAAGTGCCTGCCCCCCAGCCCCCGCCCCCACTTACGTGCGGCAGAATTCCGCCAGCGCCCCGGGAAAGTCCGGGGTGCCGGGCGCGCGGAGCTGCACTCCTGGGATGTGCACGAAGCGGCGGCAGGCGGGGGTGGGGTGGGGGGTGGAGGCGGGGGCGGGGGGCGGTCAGGGGGAGCTCGAGCGTGTGAAACTCTGCCTCGAAGCTCGCTTTTGACTTGGTCCTATGAGCTGAGCCAACATGGCGTCTCCCATTGCACCGCGAGCGCCGGCACGGCAGGGCCGGGTAATAGAAAACACATTGGTTACCAAAAAGAAAAAAAGGGGGGGGGGTTGGGGGGCTAAAGGCCATTTCGTCTGCAGGCAGAAAACCCTCTTTTAAACTCTTGCTGGCAAGTGAGTGCGGTCCCCGATTCTTTAATTAAAGCAACAGAATTAGTAAGGAAAATATTGGTAACGCGGTACCCTCTCCCCTCCCCCTCCCATATTCAGGAGAGTTGATTTCCTGTCTCCTCTCCCTCCAAGAACCAAATTAGAAAAATAAAAAGTCTGTATCCGCAAATGATCTTAAATGTTTGAATGGTATAGGGGGAGGGGGAGAAGACAGTCTTTACAGACCTCGGTCAGTTCTCGCGCTCATTAATGCAGGGGCTGCGCCGGGGTTTGCGCGGGCCGGAGTGGAGCTGGGGCGGGGCGGGGGGGGCGGGAAGCGAACCCCGCTGGACTTGAGCAGAACTTGCTACCGGCATGTCAAAGTTGTGGGAAAGGTGGCTTTCCGGGCGGAGGGTCGATTGGGGGGTGGGAGGGTCGAGCGGGGGCTGAAGGCTGTTTCCAGGCGGGTGGTCGCAGACCCTAGAAATGTGTGAGCCCGCGTGCACTGTGCCCCTGGCGGGAGGGCCACTGCAGCGGAGGATCCTCTTTCTCTAATAGGTTGGAGAGCGGGCAAGGGCGGCGGTGGCCTCCCAGAGAGGGTCTTCCGAGGGCATCTGCAGAGACTGTGGATCCGGGCCCAGGCCCGATTCTCCGGCCGACGGGGAGATCGCAACCCTAAGTGCAGTTGTACCCCTAGCCCTGGTCTGGACAACCCTATCCCTCAGCCGCCTGGGAGGGGAGCGAGGCACTCTTCTGAATTCCAGGCCTCGTCAAGATTTATTGAAGTTGGGTTTAAAAAACGTGCTTCAGATGATTTTTCTCATTTTCTCAGATTTCAAAGGCTCCCTGCAGTGCGGCTGCCTAATTAATGGTGAAATTCAACTAAATCTAATTATGCAGTAATTTTAAAGCAGTTAGTGCTGGGCGTTGGTTTGTAATAGGACCCCAGTTTTTTAAAGTTTGCTTACTGTGTTGGTTTAGGGGAAAGCTATCTTTTGTATGGTAAAGAAAGACCGGGAAATAGTTCTGCTGTAGGAACCAGAGGGCTGAGAACCGCTCCCCACCTCACCTCTGTCTTCATCCCCAAGTCTATCTCGTTTTCCTTCTCTTTTTTGTATCCCAAAGCACACGGTAAAAAGCTGAGCAAGTTGCTAAGCCAATAAGGAGACCCTGTTTCATAGTCAAAGGGGAAAGGGAGAATCTTTCATATGGAGACACAAAGGGCTTGGTATCTGTCCTGAATGCCTCTATAAATGCCCCCAAACCCGGGTGAGGGACTCTCATCTCCTCTAATAGAGAACAGATTTCCTCCTCTTACCATCCATTGTCATTAAGGCGCAAAGCTGACTCTTGGAGTTATAAATCTTATCGTCCTTCTGATAACACACTTGTAATAAGTTAGCGTCCTATTCAAAGTGAATTGTAAAACTGCCTCATTTAATATGGCATCTGTGTCATTAAAACTTTTATTTTTTTCCCCCCTCGTGTCTTGCAGGTTTGGCCTTGGGGCTAGCGCTGAAGTCTCTGCCTCTGGGGCCTCTGGGGTAGGGCTGAGGGGAAGAAAGGTGTGAAAGACGGGCTGCCTGGATTCAGCCTCTGGATCTTAGACTGGGGTGAGAGACCTGAGGCAGAATGGGCCTTGGGGGGTGGTGTCCCCCTCTCCCAATCCCCCCGGAGCTGCCCGCTCGAAATGACGTTCCTTGAAAGAAACATGCTTGTGATTAGCTAAGCAAACACATCTGCTTTCGGAGTTGGGCCTTCGTTAATTAGCTGAACAAAGGGCCGTTTTGCTTTTTACCTTTTGCTGGGGGAGAGTGTGTTATTTCAGGAGTGTTGCGGGCCCTCCTCTTTTCAATTGCAGCCACGACGTTAATTTTATTGGGATTACTGATGGGAAATGAGGTGGCGCAGGCTTCCGAGAGGAAAAGCTTGATCATTACCCCCTTTGGAACTATATTTTTCCACCCAACCTCCTGCTTGGGGGTGGGGGGAACTGCGCAGCAAGTTCGGAGCAATTGGAATCAGGCTCGCGGTGCGCTGATCTCGGGTGACAGAGCGTGTGTTGAAGCTGAACTCTATAATTTGCGCTTCTGTTCCTTTATTAGGCCTGGACAACGAACTAATGAGCTTTGGCCCAGTACAATGTCACTTGTATTTATTTTCTTATGGCAACTTTGAGATAGCGGAAGTGTTCTTTACCAAGAGCCAGGGAGGGCCCGGAGTCCTGCCGACTGCTGTCCCGGCCCGGGTCGGTGGCTGCGTCCCCGGGGAGCCAGGGCGCGGTGAGAGCGCGCTGCAGAGCTGACAAAGCTCGGGGACTGGGCTTTTAGGCGAAGCTAATGGAGCCCTCAGGAAGGTGTTTGGCCCTTTGGAAGCCCAGACATCCCTATAGGACTGGCTCCCTGAGGATGAGGTCGAGGGGCGCGGGGCAA